TCCACACTCTACACCACACATACATGCAGCAAGTTACGTGGTCAGAGTCAGAGCATAACACCATCAATGTAAATATGACTAGATCTATAAATATAAAGGTTTTGTTTAGTATGGCATACAAGAATAGATTTGAACATTAAGTATCTAGTTAATCTTGTACATTTTTTCAAGATTAAGACGTGATAACGAATGAAAAAAAAAGGATTCTTCGGGATTCTCCTAGTTTATTATATCAGTGAGTCTGCAGTCTACTTCATGTATATATATCAAGAGAAACACATAGAATGCTGTACATTTCTTTGAGCTAATCAGTTCATTTCCCTGACACACACAAAATAAAGAATATCAAATCTATTGTCGTTACAATAACAAATGACAATGATCAACAGAAAATCAGAGAAAATACTAAACAAGTAGATATCTACTCTGAAAACCCCTGAAAGGAAAATGCAAGTATGTACCTTTAAAAGGCATCAATCATAAAAATACATTGTATCAGTATACATGATATATATGTGAGGCAGCGTGGTGGAACCAGGCTCTCGTCAATTTTTGGGCATGTAGAGTTATTGGTATCATCTTAAAGCTTGTTCACTTGTCTTTATTTAGATGAAAAAATATCCATTTATCTTGAATACAAGTCGAGATATTTGCGAAAGGAAGTGGGGGTCTCCTGTTTTCAGAGGTATAATTAGTGAGAAAATGGCAGCCAAAGATTTGTTATTTCCTTAGCTTAAGAGTCCATGGTAACAGAAAATTTACATTTTTTGTTCCTTTAATCAACGTCTTTCAGAAAAATCCACACAGAAATGAGTTCTTTAATGGGCATGAAAGGTGTTGAGCCAAAAAACAAAAATTTAACAAAAATTCACAAACCTGCAGAAAAATGCAAGTTTCTTCACTTTGATTATTTTGACGAGAGCCTGATTCCACCACGCTGCCTCACATATAGACATCACTATCCATAATTTTCTCAACTCCCCTTTCTCAACAGCAGATGGACGGACAAATATTTCTTACTTGGAGATGGACGGTCCCATATCAAAACCAGAACACACTATCAATATTAAGTCTTGCACAAAAGAGTCACCACTGGGATCAAGACAAAGAGTCTACATAACAAGAGGGGCCACTTCTCTCTTTGAGCCAATTAAAAAAGTGTCCTCAAAATTCGGTGGCGCCCTCTTCGCAAAAGCGCACCTTTTGCGAACAGAGTTATCCTACTTGAGTTTAAAAAATCAAAGTGAAACTAGCAAGTTTTTGAATGAATTTCGGAAGAACGCTTTTTTAAAATGGTTACGCTGACAAAAAACCTCTTCCGGAGGAGAGGGTGATTGTTTTCTTCGTTTAATTTGACTTTAGAATGAAAGGCGAGAGGTCATTAAAATTTTAAAAAACTAAAACTCCGTACTGAACGAACCTGAACTGCTGATGAACAGCAGTCGATCTGGGCACGCAAGGGGGTGCTATTCCTATTCTTCTTCTGGAAAAATGAAAGAGAGCTTCAAAACAGACTGCAGCACCATCTGAAGCAAAGAGCATACTTCCTGCGGACACTTTTTTGGCTGAGTGGCCCATCTTGTTATTTACTATCTTTGATCAAGAGTAATGTGAAACGGACTAATGATACCCCATATTGCTGATGTTGTGAAGCCTACAGAACAGCCTCTGAACACGTAAAACACATAACAAGACAAAAGAAATGATACTATAGAATATTATAAACCCCAACAATATTAAACATAAAACAAACTCCTTTTCTGATTACAAACTCAGAACACACACACATATATATATATGTGAGGCATCGTGGTGAAAGCAGGTGCTTGTCAAAATAACGAAATCGGAGAAACAGGCATTTTTTCCTACAGTTAGGTTAGGCAATTTTGATCGAATTATAGTTTTTTGGCTTAACACCATTGTTGTCCAATTAAGAACACATTTCTGGATGGCTTTTTTAAGGAAAAACGTTGATTAAAGGCACAAAAAAAGGTAAGTTTTCAGTTTCCACGGACAATCAAGCTACGGAAATGACCAAACTTTGGTGGCAATTTTCTCGCTAAATCTACCATTGAGACCAGGTGATCCCACCTTCTTCAATCTCAAATATTTTGACTTCTATTCAAGATAGGCATTTTTTTTCCACCAATAGCAAGACAACTGAACAAGCTTTAAGATATTACCAATAACTTCATATGCATGCCCCAAAAACTGACGAGCGCCTGATTCCACCACATCGTAACACATAATACGTATAATTCTTTTAAATTGCCAGATCTCATCTAGATATTTGCAGTAATCAATTCCCATTCACTTCAATTCTTTTCAATAGTGAGAGAGCTTGCGGTTAAGAAACGGGAAAAAAGAAGATAATTTGTGTATTCAGTGTTTTCATCAATGAGAAAGGTTTCTGATTTAATATCACAAAAGCAAATCAACAATGTTGTTTCAGACCAACAAACAGCACAGTAAATAAATGTAAAAGAGCACGTAAATCATGACGTACAGTCAAACCTGTTTTTAGCGATAACCTGTTCGAGACGGCCACCAGCAGTACAAATGATGATTTCCCATCCCCACCCCCCCCCCATCCACTCCCCACACTCCTCCCCTTGCATTTTTTCTATATTTATAATGACACTATTCAAGAGGAGAACCTGTCTGAGATTATCGCTTTTCTCTTCAACAATGGGGCAAATTTGCCTGCAGGTGGTTAAAATTTTTTTTTTATAGCTTTAGTAGAGATTTTACGGTGCTCACAACTGCATAAGGTCATATGAGCGCCAGAATATTAGAGGTGTTATGAGAGTAACAAACATAAAAAAGAAGAAGGGGAGGTTACAAAAAACAAACCCACTAAGTGATCATGCTTGACTCTCACCAGCCTGTGCATGTGCTACCCAAACGAGGTGGTTTAAAAAAAAAAATAGTAGAGGGTTTTACGGCGCTCGCAATTGCATAAGGTCATATGAGCGCCGAGGGGTGGGTGTCAACAGAGAAGTCTTTACAGGGAATCAGACTTATTCTGCTCACCTCTCTGGCTTCAACAGCACAAGGTCTGTTTCGTCTATCAAGGCACCCCAAAAATAGCAGGTCACAAGAGAGTGACAAACATACAAAAGAAGTAGAGGAAAATGATGATAGTAAGAATTAGGAAAGAAAAAGCAGCAGTTCCCTGTTGTAGATCAGGCACAGTTATGAGCGTGACATGATGAATCAGCCCATTTACAATTTTACTGTGCTTGAACGAGAAATGTCTCCCCTTTGGGAAAGGCCTAAAGACACTACAGTCAGTGGCCCTGCCCCGAGGGGGTGGGGGTGGGGTGGGGTGGGGTGAGCAGCTGGTGGTTGGAAGACACTTCCATGGACACCCCCCTCCCCTCCCCCCCAAATCACCCCACACTCACACATACATACACAATACAAAAAGAAGCCCTTTTGGCAATTTAAATTGGAAACGTGAGAACGAGTCCAAAATACGGGGAACTAGGTGAATTACAACACAATATAAAATGCGTACATGCTGTGTATTACTTCAATGCCCACTTGTATTTCGGTGTCAAAGACGGCAACACGGATCACAATTCTGGAAATGGATAAAGAAATCTTTTGTAGATCACAATGTTGTCTATTAGTATTACTATACATTTGATCTACAAAAGACTGTTCAACACAAAGTCATTTAACATGAAATTTCTTGCAACGGGAAAGGATTTCAAATCCTTATGTCTTTTCCCCCCGTATTTATTCAATACATTGCAACTTTCCTTGACAAGATAAAACATTTCAGTGGGGAACTCTCTAACATGAAGGAATTTTGGGCCATTAAATTCCTCCTGACTGATTTTTTCCCTCTCAGCAGTCTATTGTTGTCAACACTTGCCACACAACTTCTTCCAATAGGCCCAAACCTTTAAAAAAAAATTTTTTTCAAAGGTTGACCGTCATACACATGTTATTACTTTACTTTTATCTACCGCTTATACCCTTTTGGGTGTCGCGGGAAGAAAGAGACGTCTCTCTTTCGCCAGCCGGAGAGCTTGGGTCAGGGGGATGCCGTGGGTGGTTAATGTTTCCCTGACTCCATCTATCAAGGTCTTTCTTGGTCGCCCTCTAGCCTTGTTGCCATCGAATTTTTGGATGTAGGCACGTTGTGCTGGATGGTGTGTTGGTAATTGTAGTAGATGTCCGAACCATTTGATTCTTTGACGTTGTATGACACATGTTATTAATGACCAAAAAAATAGGTTACACAAGGCCAGGCCTGCATCTCATCTGAGCCTGCAAGGAGGAGGACGAAACTAAGGACCATGTGTTCCTGAGATGTCCCGCCAACTATCGTGCCAGAACTCATTAGCTGGGACATTTCAGTAACCCACTTTCAGCACTTTTTAAGGACCCCCGGGCAAGTGTTGACTTCCTGCGTGCTGTCGGCATCGCTGACTGTTTATGACGCCACAGCGCCAGAAGAAATAGAGATAGAGAGAACTGTAAGAAAGGAGTCACCTCCCCTCTTTTGTTCTTTTCATTAGCACAAAGCAATTCGTAGGCCTAATCAACATTGTCATCATGAAGTGGCGTCGGTGGCCTAGTGGTTAGGCTCTCGGACTCGCAACTGTAAGGTCGTGGGTTCGAATCCTGTCAGGGACCTGACGTTGTGCCCTTGGGAAAGACACTTTACACGAATTTTCCTCACTTCACCCAGGTGGGAATGGGTACCCAGCTATAGACAGTGAAAGATCTTGTGAGTTTGTTAGTGTTTGAGCGCTTAATCGGCTGCTTGCACTGTATGCTTCCCGGTAAGCTGAGAATGTTTCTGAGTGTTCTATGGTCTGCTGGGGTAATAATATAGTGTAAAGCGCATAGAGCTTGCTTTCGAGCAGGGTTATGCGCTATACAAATGCTATCTATTATAAGTAACCAAAGAAAACTGCTACACAAAAAATAGGAAAAGAAACGGAAAGGGAACAAGCACATTAATAAAAAAAAAAATTTTTTCATATGTGGCCGGGTCTCAATTGTTTTGTGAGCTATTTTCTTTAGGAGGCATGATGCGGTAACCAAAAATAGTATTGTGATGTATGTTATGAATGAAAATTAAAATAGAGATCTATGTATAATATTGGAAACAGCATAGTAAAAAAAACACCCAAAAAAATCAAAACAATCTACAGCCCTAGAAATTAATGGCATTAAAAATTTTACCACCAATATCTTCCATCTATCTTTGTCTATGGCCAGGTTCATGTACCCTTGACATCTTCACACGAAGAATAGACATGTCTTTTCTGTAAACATCAATATATAATATATATGACAGCAGCATCAATATCATACATTTCTCTCTGGTTAGTATAAATATTTGGGATACGGAAACACAGTGCTTAGTCCTTTCCTTGTCTTGCAATCATACTTGAGTCTGCTCGTTGAAACCACTCTGTGAAAGATCCCTGCAAACCATAGAAGCACAAAACAAAAACAAGAAATGTATACCCATTATTATAATAAAACTTAAGAGAAAAAGTGAATAATAAGAGAAAGTAGAGAGAGAAAGGGGGTAAAGAAAAAAACAACTTTCTTAAGAGTTTGAGGGGCTGGAGGAGGCTCACAAATATAACTCAAGTGTAATTAAAGATACAGCCTCTTATAAGATCAATAGTTTATTTGTGTGTACCTCAATAATAATTACAAGATTTTAGCAGTAACTTCCCTTATAATTGATATCGTAACAACCACTGTCACAGACAGTCCCGTAAATTCTACAGGCCATAGCCACAGAGTTACTCGGTTCAGGCCCTTAAATTTTACTGACACGGCAGCGAGGGGATTAAAGCCTGTTCACTTGCCTTGCTTTTGGTGAAAAAAAAAAATTCATATATGTTGAACAGAAGTAGAAATATTTGTGACTGAAGGAGGGGAGGATTGCTGGGTAAAATTAAAGAGAAAATGGTCGCCACAGCAGCGAGGGAGAGGGAGAGGGAGGAAGGATAGAGAGGGAGGGAGAGGAAGGAAGGGGAGAGAGATGGAGAGAGAGAGAGAGAGAGAGAGAGAGAGCAAAAGAGAAAGAGAAAGAGAAAGAGAGAGAGAGAGAGTGAGCTAAAAAAAGCCTTACGTTATACACAGGCACATCTTCCTTGCTCAGAATTGTGAGCCACAGCAGCAAGGGAGAGGGAGAGGGGGGAAGGACAGAGAGGGAGGGAGAGGGGAAAAGGGAGAGAGACGGAGAGAGAGAGAGGGAGAGAGAAAGAGAAGAGAGAGACAGTGAGCTAAAATAGCCTTACGTTGTACACAGGCACATCTTCTTCGCCCAGAATGTGAGCAACAGCAGCGAGGGAGAGGGAGAAGGGGGAAGGATAGAGAGGTAGGGAGAGGGGGAAGGGGAAAGAGATGGAGAGAGAGAGAGAGGGAGAGAGAGAGAGAGCGCAAAAGAGAAAGAGAGAGAGAGAGAGTGAGCTAAAAAATCCTTATGTTGTACACAGGCAAATCTTGTTTGCCCAGAATGGTCGCCACAGCAGCGAGGGGAGAGGGAGAGGGGGGAAGGATAGAGAGGTAGGGAGAGGGAGGGAGCGGGGGAAGGGGAGAGAGACGGAGAGAGAGAGAGAGGGAGAGAGAGAGAGCAAAAGAGAAAGAGAAAGAGAGAGTGAGCTAAAAAATCCTTATGTTGTACACAGGCACGTCTTGTTTGCCCAGAATGGTCGCCACAGCAGCGAGGGAGAGGGAGAGGGGGGAAGGATAGAGAGAGGCGAAGAGAGAGATAGAGAGAGAGAGAGAGAGAGAGAGCGAAAGAGAAAGAGAGAGAGACAGAAAGAGTGAGCTAAAATAGCCTTACATTGTACACAGGCACATCTTCTTTGCCCAGAATGTGAGCCGCTGCAGCGACAGCACAGGCCGTCATTCCAGTCTGACACGTCGAGACAAGAGGTTTGCTGAGGTCAATCCCCACATTGTCAAACACTGAAACAATGCCCATCATCATTATAAATAAATAAAATAAATAAATTACACTTTTATTTGTTCCAGAAGGGCACTTTGGTTTACAATGGTAAACACACATAAACACATAATTATAAATACGTACATACATAAACACATGCATAAATACACATTATTACACTAATACAGAACAGTTTACAACTATGCCACTGTCGGTCGCCACTGTGCAGCGCCCTGTATTTTGAGCTAGGGTTGTCGTGTCTTGCTCAAGGACACACCCCAGTGACCACCCATCTGATCCCCGAGTCACCGGCACTTGCTTGACATTACTTGAGTCTAAACTCACTACTTAGCCACTGCTGGCTACAACAACTAAAAACACAACAAAAAAGAACAGTTTTGAAAAATAGTCACAAGGTTCCTTAGTGAGCTGAGGCATTCATACCAGTCTTAACTCAGTGAAAGTACAGATAAAATTAAAAGAAATTATGCACTTAGTACTCTCTGATTAAATGTGGTACAAGAAACAAATTGACGGTGACAGTTACATGTTCTATTGGTTAAGCTTAACAACATGTTTCGCTGGTTAAGCTATTCTTTAGGAGAAAGAAAAACAAAACAAAAACAAAAAAACTACAGTCAAACATGGGTAACCCGAATTCGTCGACGGTCGGAAATAGTGTTTGAGATTTCCGTAATTCGTCATGTCCGTGAAAGCTCCAAATACAAAGAAATACACAGAAAATCAAAAGGGAAAAAAAAGAACATTTAAACAATTAGCGCAGTTAGCTCCCTTGATTTGTGTCCGATATCTTGTAGTAACCTCAGTAACTAACACTCTGAATCATTCTTCTTTTTTTTTTTTTTTGATGAAGGTTTTACGGCGCTCGCAACTGCATACAGTCGTATGAGCGCGCGGGACACATTAAACATTTTCAGTTGGTAGGAAATATGGAATTTTGCCGGGGTGGCCGCCGAAGCCTACTCTTATCGATTTTAGACCACAAAGGGATCTTTAACGGGGGCAACTTGCACACAAGCCCTCCGAGATTTTTCGCCTTTGTCTGAGAAGAGTAGGAGTAGATCTTTCCTACCAGAAGATCAGGGGTGTGGCAGAAAGAGCAGTAAGAAGGAACCAAGGAGTAGCAGTAGAAAGGCTGCAGAAAGAGTCAGGAGCCCAGAGGAGGGGGCAAAGGAGGTGAGGGGGTGGGGGCAGAAAGAGAAGATGAAAGCAGAGGACAGAACATTGCTCATTGCTAGAGAGCAGGAAAAGGGGTGAAAGGAGACAATTTTAGAGAAGGAAATTTTCCGTCACTACCCGGATTCGAACCCGCGACCTTTGAATGAGAGGCCAACACCTTAACCTCTAGGCCACGAGAGCCCCCTATAAATCGAGTAGACCAAACTGCTTGACTTTTACTACTGCAACATTATACCGCTGAAAATGAAAAAGATTCAACGAATGGACACACTTACCTCACATAAATTCCCTGAATTTCACAATTGTTTTAGTTTTAGTAGAGGTTTTACGGCGCTCGCAACTTCATAAGGTCATATGAGCGCCACGATTAGAGGCATTACAAGGGAGTAACAAACATAAAAAAGAAGGAGTGGGAGATAAAGACGATATATGTGAGGCAGCGTGGTGGAATCAGGCTCTCGTCAATTTTTGGGCATATTGAGTTATTGTTTTCATCTTAAAGCTTATTGACTTGTCTTTATTTGGATGAAAAAAATATCCATTTATCTTGAATACAAGTCGAGATATTTTCGAAAGAAGGGGGTGGGGGTCACCTGTTTTCAGAGGTATAATTAGTGAGAAAATGGCAGCCAAAGTTTAGTTATTTCCCTTTAATCAACGCTTTTCAGAAAAATCCACACAGAAATGAGGTCTTTAATGGGCATGAAAGGTGTTGAGCCAAAAAAACAAAATTTGATAAAAATCCACATACCTGCGGAAAAATGCAAGTTTCTTCACTTTGATTATTTTGACGAGAGCCTGATTCCATCACGCTGCCTCACATATATTTGATAGGAAAGGAGCCAGCCACAACAGAGCACCTGCCAACCACCCACCTTCATAATTGTAACGCGACAGTGTTGAGTGTGAAAGAAAACATATGGTTACATTCACCTCAAAATAACTCTTTAAAAACTGAAAAATTAGGAATTGTACCATTAACTGAACTTACATTTTTGTAGCTCTGAGGAAGACTTCACAGTGCCATCATCATTGAAAACGGAGCCAAATGGAATATTTTTAGACCCAGGTATGTGGCCATCATTTTCTGGAACAAGTTGTAAAGTAAACAACTCATGGTACAGAACACATCAAACAAATATTTGCATCGCAACAATAATAATAAAAAAACCTATAAGATCAGTGCAGAAATAAATCATTTGAGCTGTAATCTTCTACAACCCCTGCCTTTCTATGATTCAGTCGGAAGGGGCGTCGGTGGCCTAGTGGATAGGCTACCGGAATCGTATTCGCGAGATTGCGAGTTCGGGGGTTCGAGCCTCAGCTCGGTCCGACGTTTTGTCCTTGGGAAAGGAACTTTACATGAACTTCCCACTTGGCTCAGTCCTATCGGAGACGGACGTTAAACTAGGAGGTCCCGCCCCTTAAATAACCTAATAGTGGTGATAGGGGCGTTAAACCCAAACCATTTCACCATTTTGTTCAGATTCAGTTGGTGTAAAAGAAGTGATCCACAAGAGGCAGTCCCTTAAGGCCACACAAGATCCACTGAATATTTTATCCAGGAAGCAACAGACATATATATCAAAACATTTACCTACGTAAGAAATAATGTTTTAACTCCTTTCGTGTTATTCATTGCGATAATATGTGTCACGACGTGGTGGAATCAGGCGCTTGTCAATTTTTGGGCATGCGGAGTTATTGGTATCATCTTAAAGCTTGTTCATTTGTCTTGCTTTGGATGAAAAAAATACCCATTTATCTGGAATAAAAGACGAGATATTTGCGAATGAAGGAGGTGGGGGTCACCTGGTTTCAGAGGCAAAATTACTGAGATAATGGCTGGCAAAGACGAGTTATTTCCCTAACTTGTGAGTCCGCGGAAACTGAAAATTTACATTTTTGTGTCTTTAATCAATGCTTTTCAGTAAAATCAACACGGAAATGTCTTCTTTAATGGGCATGAAAGGTGTTGAGCCAAAAAACAAAAATTCTATAAAAATTCACAAACCTGCGGAAAAATGCCAGTTCATTCACTTTGATTATTTTGACGAGCGTCTGATTCCACCACGCTGCCTCAAATATATAATATTATCATTTCTCACTAGGCCCAAAACACGTTTTCTTAACTGGTTGTAACATTCTTCTTCTTCAGCTATGAACATATCGTAATACATCAGACTCCATAAAGAAAACCTCAAAATATACTTATTTAAATGTATGGTGTACAAGTGCTAAAAAGAATAAATGAACCACCAAATCAAACTGCAAGAGTCAAATGTACATGAAAATGTACTAACCCCCCCCCATATATTGGCAGTAAAAAGGAGAAGGTCAAAAGCTAAAGCAGATTCAGTAACTCAACTCTTTTCAAATAAAAACAGCCCACAGCTTTCATTCATGACTCACCATTTTCCCCAACAAAGTTCCCTCGACCTCTTGCATCCACTACTTGTTCAGCCTGAGAGTTCACATTTTTCAACATTTCATCGTAGCTTCTCAACAAATGGGGCCGGAAATTCACCTCAAATTCCCCTTCCTGTGAATGTATACATACATGTTACAAGAGACAAGAAAATACATTTTAGATAAAGGGTAACTTTATACAACTGCACATACCCCCCCCCCCACCCCCCACAAACATTTACACACATGCACTCATCTGTATTAAATGCAGATCATGCTTCAATAAAGACCTTCAGACCAAAAGAAGTACATTCAATGTACGATAAAAAGTTTTTGATTGACCTCACTCTCAAAACATAGAAGAAAGGAATTTGTATGTCTTTCTGTCCTTGGAATAACTGACATTAGAGTGGCATAATCTAGAGGTTCTTCCAGATCACTTCTTGTTGCCTAAATTTTGTGAAGAAAAGCATCTTCATTGATGAATTTTGTTTTTTGGAGTTACAGGCTTAGTCTACATGCTTTGTCGATGGTCTCTTTTATTCTATATTTTAATTAAGTCCCCACATACTGTAATAATTCATTCCAAGAGCAGATACACTTTCAATAAAGGAGAGATTTATATAATGCATTAAAAAAATTGTGCCCTAAATTGTGCACTTCAAAAGTATAAAAACGTTCATTAAACTGACTGCCCTTTCTACTAACAAAATCAGAAAAATTTGAAGAGGCTGACTTTTAGACACAAGAAATTAAGCACTTCAGAAAATGACAACATAATAAGAACTGGATCTCCACCAACCTTTGCAGAGCTTACAACGACATGATAGAGTAGCAACACTATGTGGCGTCAGTGAGCTAGTGGCTAAGCTACCAGACTCGTAATCATGAGGTTGCGGGTTCTGGGGTTCGAGCCGTGGGCCCCGACGTTGTGTCCTTGGGAAAGGCACTTTGCACGAATTTTCCTCACCTCACACAGGTGGGAATGGGTACCCGGCCATAGACAGCAAAAGATCTTGTCAGTAAGTTAGTGCTTTAGCGCTTATAAATGGCTGCTTGCACTTTATGCTTCCCAGGAAGTTGAGGTTGTTTCAGAATGCTCTCAGCTCTGCTGGGGTAATAGTTTAGATTGTGAAGTGCATAGAGCTTGCTTTTGAGTGGGGATCTGCGCAATACAAATGCTATCTATTATTATCTATTATTAAAAGAACAAGAATCGTAAAATTACAATTTCAGTAGTCAAAGCATGGAACAGCTCTGTTAGAATCAAGCAGAAATAACCCTACAGACGATCTTTGTATCTCAATCCTTACCTCAACATCTGGCTCATCAACAGTCACGTGATAACCATCTGTTACCCACTGTCTCAGACCTCCGTTTAGAACCGACACTTTATCGTGACCGAACAGCTGAAAAAAAAAAGAAAGCTCAGTTAAAGATTTTATATGAGGCAGAAACATACCCCAAACTATAAATGCTACATAAAAAAATATTCAGACAAGCTTAATTCGGCAGTCTACGCCCCAGAATATAAGAACCTCGTCCACGTAAGAGCCCACTTTTTTTTACTTTTACAGTGTAACTGAAAGTTTTTCCTCTACAATTTGCAATTCTAAGAATCTGTTCTAAAAGTACAAATTATACAGCTATGACTACTAAAAGTAAGGCTGGAACTCAAGGCAACCAACTTGTCTAAGCGTCCTGCTTTATCATACATTATGAATGCACAGAGGCTATCTTCAATGCCAGTACAATCTATTATCTGTTTGTGGTGGCCGAATTTTGCTATTCAAAAGGCTTTTTAATGGCTGCATCGATCGACATGCGGTTTTCACCAAAAGATTCTTTAAAATATTCTCCAGATCATGACGCTCTTGGTTTTTTCAGTTTTGAGACAGTCTTGCTGCAAAAAGCTAAATATTTCTTTATTTCACCGATCGCTTTTGCAGGCCGACGCTTCTGTCTCTGCAATTTTAGAAAATCCGGAAGTGCTATTTCACAAGGCGCATTTTGTTTTGAGGGTATAGATCTAGACCTTCTAATTTTTTTGCATCTCTCAAGATTTATTGCCCCATTCCAGTAGAGTGTAAATATAGTAGGCCAATGACTTTTAGTTGATATTGAAGCACTGATCACTCCTTTCATCGAAAGGGGGCCCAGCTAGTATAATATATGATCTACACTGTTACAAAGTTTAATAAAACTCATTTAGGAGTGTGTAGAGAGGGACGGAGTGAGTGTGTGTGTGTGTGGGGGGGGGGGGGGGGGGGGAGAACATGAATTAGCAGACAGTGATATCAACAGCAGGAAGAAAATCAACAAAATACAGTCTTAGTGGAAACCTCTCCAAGAAGAAGAAAACCTGTAATTTAACGGAATCTCCCCGCTACCCCCTAGATTAATTCATATATATATATATATATATATATATATATATATAATACACCTGTCTTATATAGACACCTGCTCAACCCAGCAATGGAAAGAGAAATTCCTTCCCGTCAGAGAATTTTTAGTTTTAGTAGAGGTTTTACGGCGTTCGCAACTGCACAAGGTCAAATAAGCGCCAGAAGATTAGTGGTGTTACAAGAGAGTAACAAACACAAACAAGAAGAATGGGAGATAAGGAAGATAGATGTTTCATAGGAAAGAAGAAGCAAACCACACCAGAGCACCCGCCAACCACCCACTCAGAGAATTTTGGACCTGTCTAAGAAAGGAACTCACAAAAAATGGTGAAATGGTGAAATGGTATGAGTTTAACGCCCTTATCAACACTATTTGGTTATTAAAGGGGCAGGACCTCCTAGTTTAACGTCCATCTCCGATAGGACCGAGCCAAGCGGGAAGTTCGGGTAAAGTGCCTTTCCCAAGGACACAATGTCGGACCGAGCTGAGGCTCGAATCCCCCAACCTGCAATCTCACGATTACGAGTCCGGTAGCCTAACTGCTAGGCTACCGACGCAACCTAAGGAACTCACAAGTTTAGTTGCATCCTCTACAACCTTTATGCCACACCGTTGGGTGAGGAAAGGGGGAAGGGGTGCAGTTTAGGGGTAACTGTCATCTCATCCATGTGAGCCCTGAGTGGTGCAGATGGTCAGGGTGGCGTGGGTGACAGATCTCATCATCACTGGTGAAAGTATTTCAGTGGCGCTCCATCGTGAAATTTTTTTTTGGTAGTCAGAGGCGTGAAATTAATTGGACCACTGCCTGCAATCGTAATTGGACAGCCAGCAGTGAATAAAGATCCTTGAATTATTGTTACATGCAGCGGAGGGGATGGTATTGGTTGATTAAGCATATTACGTCATGGGTGGAGTTAAGGGTGGAAACAAGGAAGACCTTCAATTGTTTTTATTCTTAACCTCTTCGTTGCCTCATGACGTATGAAAATGCGTAATTTTTAGCACTACCGTATCATGTACGTCACAGAAGTTTGGCTAAATTTGCCACTCCTGGTTGCCAATATGATTATGATGTAACATGTCATCATCATCAATGCCTTCCGCCCCTGGCAGGGTAAAGGCCACATACAAGCTCCTTCCATTTATCTCTATCCTGGGCCATCCTTCCAAGCTTGTTCCAAGTGAGTTTCATCTCTCTCATGTCCCTTTCCACACATCTCCTCCATGATTCCCGTGGCCTACCTGTGCCTCATGCTCCCTCTGGTTCCATTGCAGTGACTGTTTTGTGATGTTTCCACTGGGCTTTCTGAATGTGTGTCCCATCATCACGTCATTTTGTCCTGTCCTTTCCCACAGCTCTTCCTTTCTTATTCTATCCTGCCCCTTAATTCTTAGGATACTTCTCATACATCTGTTGATGAAAGTCTGGACTTTATTCAGCACTGTCTTTGTTGTCTTCCAAGTTATGCAGCCGTAGAGGAGCACAGACTTGACATTGGAGTTAAAGAGTCGAATCTTGGGGCGCAGTGAGATGTTGCTTGATTTTCAGACTTTTGATAACTGATTGAAAGCTAACCTTGCCTTGGCGGTTCATGCTTTAACAACTGCCTCGGTTCCACCTTTACCATCGATGACACTTCCAAGGTAGGTAAAGGAGTCCACTTCTTCCAAGGGAGGGTCTTCCACTGTCACAGCAAGGCTTGAAACTTTTCCTAACTTCACTATTTTCAACTTGCCCGCATGTATTCGTAGGCCAACATTCCTTGATAGGCTGTTGAGTTCCTTGGTCTTTTCTTGCATCTGAGCATGTGTGTGAGAGAGCAGGGCAAGGTCATCGGCGAAGTCCAAGTCGTCCAGCTGCTGGCAAGGGATCCACTGTATTCCATTACGCTTGCCTCTGGTGGCTTCTTTCATGACCCAGTCAATTGCCAGTATGAAGAGAAAAGGTGAGAGCAGGCATCCTTGTCACACTCCAGTGTGTACCTGGAATGGTTCTGAGAGTTGTCCTTAGTGGAAGGCTTGGCAGTTTGTACCATCATAGGCGGCTTCACAAGCTTGACGATGTTTCCTATGTACTCCATAATGCCGCATGAGTGTCCACAGAGTTTCCCTGTCAAATGCCTTTTCATGATCAATGATGTTGACATGACGTTATATGTATGTCTAGCAAAAAACCTGGATCTATATCTTCTGTATGGACATTTAGCCACAAGCGCTGCCTAGATTCATATTCGGGAATAAAAGATGTGCATCGGTATCAAATTTGCTTGTATAATTTCACTGCTAGGCTTGCAGGCGATTGATAAACACAGTCTATCTAGGCTTGCGGGCAGCTGCGTGCTCTCGTAAAATGTAAACATCTAAATGACTTTAAAAAGGCAAATAAATTCACCTTTTTACTCAGATTTTCAGGACATTTGAAAATTATGAGTAAGATTGAAAGAAATGAGGAATAAGAAAAGAGAGAAAAGTGACAATCGGAGACCTGGTGTCCAAAACATGTCACGAGTGAGCTAGATCTAGACGTCCATTAACACTGAGACATTAGGCTACTGTCTTGGGTAACGAGCTCAGCTGAAAATCAGTGCTGACAGTAGGAACGTATACCCCCTGGCAAAGAAAGGGTTAAGTGGTCAAGCAGAGGACCAATGAGGTGCAAACACTGGTGACATAATGCATGCAAACCATTATCAGATAAGCTAGGATAACACTTGGGAGAGGTGTCAAATTTTCATTTCTGCTTGCTGACTGGACAGGTGATCCTTGATCCAACCGTGTATGGGCTGACCCTTTGACACACCCCCCACCTTTCCCGTTGAAGACAAAAAAATTGTCCAACACAGAATATTTTTCTGGCTCCCTTATTATTCTGTCTTGGACAGGTTCGACCGGTTCGGCTGAGCCTCCGGACAAAAACTTGGTCGCCTCCATTCCTGTCTGAATCCAGGGGTTGATTGGCGTTCGGCCTGGAACTGTACTTGTTCCGGGGTCTGCAGCACCGCGTAGAGGTCCCAATAGTGGAACTAGAGCCACATGGTGGAACTCAGAAGTACAAGAAGCTGTTACCGAGCGCACTAGACTAAGAAAACTAGCAAATAACAGTGAGCTTGATTGCAAACTATGGCGGGAACAGTGTACCAAGACCAGAAGCATCATCCGTGAAGCAAAAAGGAAAAGCTGGCAAGATTACGTATCGACACTAGACTCGCGCAGCAACCTAAGCAAAATATGGCAAACTGTGAATGCCATGAATGGGAAATCTAGATCATCACCACAAGGAGCAGCTCTAATAGTTAACCAACAGACGATAGCAGACAATGCAAAGAAAGCAAAGAAGTTTGCCCAGATGTACTGTGAGGTCTCCTGTATCAAGAGTGACACAAAGGCTGAACTGGAAGCAAAAGGAGAAACTATTAACATTGATCGCAAGATGCATCGAAGTAACTACACAGCAATGAAAACAACATGCCAATGCCAGAATGGAATATGCTCACCCCTGACTATGGCAAAACTCAATGCTGCACTACAAGTTCGCAAAAATACGTCTGCAGGAGATGACTGAATCCACAATATGATGCTGACCCATCTTCCTCAAGCTGGCCGGAATTCTCTCTTGAATATCTACAATAGAGTGTGGAAAACAGCCCAATACCCAGCGGCCTGGCGAAAAGGTACGATAATTCCTATCCTTAAAACCGGGAAGGACCCTGCCCAAATGACCTCGTACAGACCCATCCAACTAACAAGCTGCATTGGGAAATTATACGAGAGATTAGTAAAAGTGAGAATGACGTTCTGGTTGGAAACCCAGCAAAAACTATGCAATATGCAAGCCGGTTTTCGACCACAGCGTAGCATAGAGGACCAGATCACCTGGGTAACGCAACACATAGCCGACAACCTTCAAGACAACTCTGGACCAAGACACAAAGCAAAGAGAACCATACTCTGTCTAATAGACTTTTCAAGAGCCTTTGACAAGGTATGACATACTGGACTCCTCTACAAGATAAACGCAAGAATGCCCACCTGTCTACAACGACAGATCAAGGCCTATCTAGACGACAGAAGGTCCAGAGTTCGTTTTGAGGGAAAAGAAAGTCGCTAGTATCACTTCCTCGCCGGCGTCCCCCAGGGTGGAGTATTATCACCTCTACTGTTCCTCACGTACATCAACGACATCGAAGATGACCTACCCGTAGGCACCAACACCAGCCTCTTCGCAGACGACCTGGCAATATGGGCATCCCATGAAAATCTTGACACTGCTGCCACGATGGTTCAAGCCGCTCTGAACAAGATCTGCAATTGGTCAAAACGATGGAAGATGGAAATTAACGTGGCGAAATGCGAATACTCTTTTTCCACGACATGGAACTGTGAAAGGTCCTGGCGTACCCAGCTTACAATGGGAGATGAGGAGGTGCCCTATAACAAAACACCTACCTTCCTTGGCGTGACCTTTGATTGCAAGTTAACATTTAAAGAACATATCAACAGATTAAAGAAAAAACTGGCCCCACGAGTCAATCTCCTCCGCAGGCTCTCCGGCACAGACTGGGGATGCAGCAAAGAAGATCTACGTATGGTGTACATCGCGTACATCAGATCAGCCATCCAGTATGCCCACGCAGCCTGGTACCCAGCAACGGCCAATACAAATCGTGAGACCTTAAATGTTATTCAAAACTCGTCAGCCAGAATGGGTGTACGAGAGACTTAAATGCAACCCTGCTCACAAACGAAGCTGGGCTCATCCCACTTGAGGTTAAGTCTAACATTGCAACTGCAGTGGCATACGAGAGAGCAAGAAGAGTCCCAGAAGACAACCTGATCCGTGCCTCAGCTGAAGGAACATAAAAAATATGCCTAAAGTCCATCAACAGTTGGAGGGAAGTGGGCCGACAGAGCTCTAATAACGCGGGACTAGAACATCTAATCCGAGAACCCCTACGGCCAGTGAGTACAACTCTCCCGTGGAAGACCCCCTGCAAACCTCACAATCAACTCAAAACTTGCAGTGTCTACGACAAAAACAGATCCACCTAATAATATGCGACGTGAAGCAGCTTTCGAGACCGTGTGGCGATTGCCTACGTCCGACCTCGATATCTTCACTGACGGCCATGCCACTGACGGCTACAGGTTATGTGGAGGAGGACACTGGTGTCTAGACTAATCTTCTGGGGAGGAAACATGCATATATCCGTGCCCGCGGTACTATACGGAAGCAGCTACCGAGCTGAAACTACCGCCCTGCTCCGCGGACTGCAATGGCTCGAAAAACAACCACGTTTTCAAAGAATCCACATCTTCACAGACTCCCAGTCAGTTGCTCAACACTTAATGTCCGGAGTGACTACAGTTCGCACTGAGATAGAGGACAAAATGTGGACCACTATCTGTCACTGCTGTGAAATCCTGGACACCTTTACATACAATGGATACCAGGACATTGCGACATCTACGGGAACGACCGAGCTGACGCCCTGGCCAACAAGGGAAGCCGCCTCGACCAGTCCAACACTACAGTCAATATTGCGTCAGCAAGCTCGTGCATCTCGAATTACATCATTGCCCACGCATGGGAGAAAGCGCGAGTGCACGACTCCATCGAGGGAAAGGTGAAGCCACCACCGGAGAGGGACAAAGAGAGAGACTTTACTGTCAGACACAGAGAAGAGTGTTATCGCAGCTAAGATGCAACGCGAAGAGCCCCATCCTGCAGACATATCTCCATGCAATAGGCTCCGCTCCCAATGATTCCTGTCTGGCGAGTGGCACAAGTCCTGACGACCTGCAGCGCGCACTGTATGAGTGTATGAGTGGCCACACTGTATGAGTGTATGAGTGGCCACACTGTATGAGTGTATGAGTGGCCACACTGTATGAGTGTATGAGTGGCCACACTGTATGAGTGCCCGCGGGGGGAAGCACATAGAGGCCCACTTATGGAGAACAACGCGAGACTGGGCCCAGATGTACTCTGGACGAGGCCACAAGAGGTTGCCTCTTACCTGTCTGCTTGTGGCAGACTGCCGCCCTCCTAATGGAGGCCAGCCAGAGGAAGAAAGGAAGGACAGGTTCGACTACCGTTCAGGAAAAATTTCTTACCCGAAATAAAAACCAAGTTCTAAACGACGGCCTGGAGTTGAATCTGTCATACGCTATGACATGAGTGTCATTGGAAATGCCAAGATCTTCCACATAATCTTGAAAGCGGTTGCTGTCAGGTATGGGAAACTTGGCTCCTGGACCTTTTTGTCCTGATGTTTGAACTTGTTTTAGGTCAAAGTACAATGAAGACGGTATGTGGGCTCTGAAATATCAACAAGACAAAACAATTTATTGATGAAGGACAATTTTTTTTACTCATAATAACTTCACGACTTGAACTATAAAATAAAATCGAAATAAATACACTTCTAACTTATAAAAGAAAACAAAAACATACACACTTTATCTACTGCTAATATAGAGCACTGTAAACTTCATACTGCCAGGCAGCTATACATCATACTATTTTATTTCAAAGACATTCAGTAAATGTTTAAATTAAAATTCACATATTTAGATTCAGGTCAGACAACATGTGTAGCAACCCTGGCTTATAATAATTATCGCAGTGACTACGTTCACGGTGCCCTAAATCATCCACCATTGGCTCAGAGGCCCGACTGAAACGCTATGGTCGCTCAAAGTGAATGAGGAAACAGCACAGGAATACTCGTGTGAAAAATAATGCAGCGGTGGTCCGAATGCAACAGAGTTTACGGAGGGTGAAGGCGGGCACAAGAAAACAGCTGTTGTCAATAACAAGGCCTTGCTCGCTCAGAGCGCAGAACACGACTTCAATCCTTTTCCCGTGTGCAGACCTGGCAACGCTTGACAATTTGAAAATAAAAGTCATTTGAAGAAACAAGGGAGAATGGAAGAAGGCCAAGCCAGGAAGAAAGGTGGGAGGGGGTGAAAAATAGAAGAAGCAAAAGGGAAAAGGGTCTAAGGGGGTGAAGTAAGCAAGATCATTCTTTACTTGCATTAATACATTCAGGGCGTCCTGAACGTAGCCAGCAAACTACGTTCACAGTGTGTACATAGCCACTGCAAATAATTATAATAATAGAGATACTTAGTTCTGCGTAAAAAGAAAATTAGATCAATCTTTTTCAGCTCCAATCAAACGAATACTGAGTACTGTTTCTATATTACCCTGCTATCCTACCCCATCCCTGTGTGAAGTTACTATTACTATGGATAATGTGATAAAACAAATAGTCTGGAGCCAAAACCAACGGTGGCCAAAACAACATAGAGTCTATCAAAAGAACTAAGAACTTACTCTTTAAAAAAGGTTTTGTAACCATCAACTTCTGGCTCTGGAGTCCATGATGTATCAAGAATTCTCAAGCTGCGCCTCAGCGTAATTTTGCCGGCAATCGAGGGATTCGAATGTCTGCACATCTGCTGTTTGAGCCATGTCGTACTCACAAGGGTGGGTAGTCTGTTTATAGTCATCTTTCTTAAAATAAAATTAAAAGATGTTCCTTTCAAAATAATAAGGCTTGCTCTATTTCTCCGAATGCTCGGGAAAATTTAAACTTGAAGTCTACTTCTCTGAAAGGTTACCGTTCTCGAGATTTGTTGATAATAATTGTGAATGGAGTGGCCCGTGTGTGTGTGTGTGTGTGTATGTGTGTGTATGTGTGTGAGTGAGTGCGTGTGTGTGTAGTGTGTGTGAGAGTGTGTAAGGTGTGAATGGGGCGTGGGGGCGGGGGAGCGAGGAGGGATTTTTTTTTCGAAGTACGGCTAGCCTGAGAGTCCTGCCGTACTTAAACTTAAATCTAGGTTTGGCCCTATCGACAAACCTGTTGAGTACACAGGCCTCATTAGATCTAGATCTAGTAATTATTCAGGTTTAAAATACATACAAGTCAGTAAGGCACCTTTTGGTTTTGTCAGAAATACAAATACTTCAGGCATTGCAAGCTAAAAATTTCATTTACAATTCAGCCATCAATAATAAGTACGACTAGCCTGATTGTCTAGCCGTCACTAAGTACGGCTAGACTGCCAGTCTAGCCGCACTCATCTTAGGCTAGAAAACAGGTCTCATTTAACAGTAATTATTCAGATTTAAAATACATACACTCTGTCATTAAGGCACCTGGTTTCATCTCAAATACAAATATTTTAGGTACTGCAAACTAAAAATTTATTTACAATTTAGTAGGCCTATTTTTTTGGGTTTTGGTCAGTCTAGCCATCATATTAAAAATAGGAAGAGGCTAGCCGTACTTAATGACGGCTAGACTGGCAGTCTAGCCGTACTTACGGCTAGACTGGTTGGCTAGCCGTACTTATTCTTTTAATATGATGGCTAGACTGACCATAAAAAAAATAGGCCTACTGAATTGTAAAAATATAAATTTTTAGTTTGCAGTACCTAAAGTATTTGTATTTGAGACAAAACCAGGTGCCTTACTTAATGACAGTGCATTATTTTAACGAAGGCCTTATTTTAAACCTCCTGTTTTCTATCTAATGTTAATAGGGCCTAAGATAAGTACGGCTAGCCTGGCTGTCTACCCGTACTTAAGTACGGCTAGCCACTAGCCGTACTTAATATTGATGGCTGAATTGTAAATGAAATTTTTAGTTTGCAATGCCTAAAGTATTTGTATTTCAGATAAAACCAAATGGTGCCTAGCCGTCATTAAGTACGGCTAGCCTCTTCCTTTTTTTTACATAAGGATTTTAGTTTTTTCTGGGAGACTAAATGCAAAAAAGGTTACTGCCAAGGTCAATCAGTCTTGTTTTCTCGCAGTACCTTTTGAAGGCTTTCAAATGAAGTATAGTGACGGTCCGGGAACGTTGCCCCAACCACAACTGAAGTATCTTTAACTTAAGGGCCACCTCTATTCTCACCCGGAGTGAGAATAGTGCAGGCGAGTCTTGTGGCTATTCTCACCCGGCGTGCGTTCACCAAATTTTGCGTTCACCCTAAACCATAGAATTCTACACTGTGAGGAAAAATTGTAGAATTCTGTGCCAAGAACAAACGTTCCATTACAACTGTAGCCTACTAAAAGCGTACAATTTTGTCTGTGGGCAGTGGAGAGAGAGAGAGAAAGAGAGAGAGGAGTAGCGCGAGAATTTCCGGGCAAAACAAAATGGCGACCCGCGTAGTTCGGCTCGATTCGAAAAGTTAAATAGCCGTAGCATCTTTGTAGACAACCAAATTAATTTACTTTTGTGTTTTAACATCATTTTTTAAACTTTGTTTTGGTCAATTTGATCGTCCACACCGATAGACAGTATTCAGAAAGAGACAGAGAGAGAAAGAAGAGGGGAGGAGTTGATCTTGCGAGAACTTCCGGGCGGGTGAGAATAGCCACTTTCTAACTTAAGACATTTTAAGACCTCTAGATTAGCTCTAGAAACTGAATTCGATGCAAAAAAATGCTTCTTCTCAGTCCTCGCAAACTGGCAGAATGAAAGATGACACCTAGATCTATATCTAAATCTTGCAAATAACCAAGAAACAACAACTCGAGAACACAAACCGTTCGGAGAAATAGAATCTAGATCTAGAGTCAGAGTTCAAGTTTATTTTCCCGAAAGTTCGGAAGAAATAATCTATCTAAATCTAGATATATATCTAGATTTAGATCTAGATTTCTAGATCCAAAATCGGCGCTTTTTCGGTAGTTCCCACCCCGCAATTGTTATTCACGGGTTTTGGCCATTCCCCCCTGAATTTTACCATAATTTAATGTTGGGAGTGTATACAGACCCGGTAACCGGGAACCAAGTCACAAAGTATACAGACCCAGTAGGGGAACTCTTTTGTGATTTCGGAAAGTTTCAGCGCCCTCTTGGCTCAGGGTAGACCTGGGTTCTTCTAGTTCTAGATCTATGGTCTAGGTCTAGACAGACAGACATAAATCTTTGATCTAGTTTCGAGGCTAGCCTAGATCTAGATCTAGATCTAAATGAAAATTGCGGATGTCTTTTCGATGAACGATCGTTTTTCCTCCGTTTTGAAGTTGGAGGAATCACAATTTGAAGACAAGAACAATGTCATAATTTCAATTGAGCAGTAACTCTCTCTCTCTCTCTTTCTGTCTCTCCTCTGTCTCTGTGTATCGCTCGCTTTCTTTGTCTTTGTTTGTCTCTGTCTTTCTTTCTCCCCACCTATTTCCCACTCGCTATCTTTCTCTCGTTCCCTCCTGCCAACTGGGGCATGTCATATATATACATTTTGCTAGCACCTCTCTCTCTCTCTCTCTTTCTCACACACACACACACACTACCGGGTCTGGGCGCTGAAACTTTCCGAAATCGCAAAAGAGTTCCTCTACCGGGTCTGTATACTTCATGACTTCGTTCCCGGTTACCGGGTCTGTATACACTTCGTTTAATGTTTTGCAGTTGTTAGGTTTGATATCTTAGCTCACCGCGAATCAAACGTATAGATCTAGAATCTAGATCTAGATGTAGGTCAGGCTCAAATAAGGGGGGTGGGAACTACCGAAAAAGCACCCCAAAATCTAGATCTAGATCAAGATCTAGAAATCTAGTGCAATCCACAAAATTAGTCAGCACTGGTCAAACTTGAAGTGAGTAGACAAGACGTCACAATCACAAGATCTCAGATTTAAAATGCCACAATCAAGAACTACTTTAAAAAACCCAGCAAAACTGTTGAATCTCTCTTGAACGTCTGTCTTAAAGAAGCCACTCTCACCAACCTGTCACCACACCAAGAGAAATGTCCCCCACTATTGTACTGCCCTTGGCACCCTCGATGTTTACATGAAGTTAACTCTCTAGTCTCTAGCCCTACTTTCACTTTCGGCTTCTAGCGTTTCCTTTTCCTGTCCAGAAAGGTTGGTCAGCTGTCACTTGCCAGATTGATACAAATAATTAACTTCATACCAAGGACCTTACGTTGTTTACAGCCTCACTCAATGTTTTAATTAAACACATTCCATTGACAAACCCAAACAAAATGTATTATAATAGAGAGAAATGCTTTCTTTTGGAAATCAAATAAGGCACTCTTATTCTGCATCATCAGAATCTCCAAGAAGACTTAAGGAATAGCTTAAATGCAGAAATAAAAATCATCGCTTATAGACTATGGGCTACTGGAACCCCCCCT